AAGCAGTGGTATCAACGCAGAGTACTGATTCAAATTTAGCATCTGCTTCAGATTTAGTATATGTAGGAGCAGCACTACCTAAGAATTCCCAAGCTTCTGCTCCAGTGCCTCCTATAAATTTATAATAGGACATAGCACCTTCATGAGTTTCATCGTTTAAAACTTGGACATTTTGTCCTTGTGTTAAAGTTGAAGTATCGTAAGCGATTAAATCTGTATATGTTGCAACAATGTCTACAACAATTTGTTGTCCTGATAAAGCATCAATTTGAGCTTGTAAATCTACATCTTTATCTGAACGAGATTTAGCTTCAGCTTCTAAACCTTCTTGAAGTTTAGTATCTCCTTCAGTACGAGATTGAGATTCAGTATCAATTTTAGAATCTAGACGTGTAACCTCATCTCTACGGTTAGCAATTTCTTTACCTAAATTTGAATTTAAACTACTAATTTCATGACTACGAAGTTGTTCTTCGTAAGATAAACGTTTATCTAAAGCTTTATCAGCTTCTTTACGATCTGAAACTTCTTTATTAAGTTTTTCTAAAGTAGCAACGAAATCAGTATCTACACTAATTTCTTTAGGATATTCGTCTGTGATTTTAATACCATCACCTGCTTTAAATTGAGCAGCAGTAATATCTTTTCCACGGATAATAGTTTTAGTGTAATCATCTTTATTAGGACCTTGAGGTTCAAAGAAATATGTATCTTCATTATTTGATCCGTAATGAAGAATGATTCTATCATTAAAGTATTTAATACGATCAGAAGCAGCAATTGTAAGACCTTTAGAATCTAATGAAGATGAGTAAAGAGGAGTATCGCTATCTTCACTTTTAGCGCCATATGAATATTTAAGACCAACAATAGTTTTATTACTGTCAATCTTATCATCTTTACTTCTATGTAGATATTCGGAATCATCATAAGAAGCTGAGATGTGATTAATTTCATCAATAAGAGCGTTCCATTCTTCTAATGTAACATTCCCACTGTTTTTAGTTTTTCTTTCTAGATAGTTTTTCATAAATACCTCCTTATTTCTTTGGTAAATCTCTACTGAGAGAATCTAACGAGTAGAGTTTGAATGGATGAGTAGATTTACCTTCAATCTTGAAGTTAATCGTACGTCCTTGTCCTGAGTATTTTAAGATGTACTGTCTTACTGTATCTTTAGCAGAATCATCTTCTGCGGTGTATAAAGTATTATTTTTAGACAATGAAAGTATATCATTCTCCGTATCTTTTGTAAATGAAGAATGTGAATTTGGATCTAAAGGTCTAGCAATATCTTTCTGTTTCTTAGTACAGATACGTTTAATGCCATCAGTCCAAACAGTAACATCGAATGGGAAATAATCCTTTTCACTAAGAGTCGCTAAATGAATTCTAGTTTCTAAATAGGATTTAATAGTAGAATACTTTAACGCTTTTTGTCCAAATTCTATATCGAATGGGATAGGATCACCATCAATATCTACAGTAAGTTCGTCTTTAGTCTTGTCAATGTAGTCTTCATATTTAATATTGCCAGTAATCCATAAACTAGTCTTATAGAACTCGAAGTGTTTATTATTTCCTACAATTAAATATGGAATACCTTCAACTTCGCTGACACCAACCGCTTCGATATTATTATATTGTTGTTTAGTCCAGGTATTATTTACATAATTATATGTAAAGCATATTGTATATCCTAATAGTTCTTTAGGTTTAATAACAATAAATAATTTGTAATTTTCACTATCGGAGAATGCGAATGAAGTATAGCGAACTCCTTCAGCATTTGAATAATATTCATCTTCTAAGAGTTCTTCAACCCCATCGGATAATCTCTTGATATTTAAGATGTTATCACTGGATGAATATTGATTTGGAATGAGTTTATATACTTGACCTGAATATCCACGGAAGATAATTCCATTAAGGATTGTTTTGACAGTTCTTGCAAATTCTCTTGGAATTCCTTCATTAGCATGAATTAGTTTCGAGTTATAAGTATCTGTAGCTATGTCGTAAGATAATAAGTAAATACATTTAGTAGTAAATACTAAGATATAATTACGCCATTCTATAACTTGAGTAACATCGCCTGTAAACTTAATTTCATTTAAAGCTGGGAATTCATAACTACCTGCTTTAGAATAGTAAATTGAGTTTTCATAATTCTGGATTCCCCAAATCCAGTAGCGGTTTTGTAGGAATCTAGATGTAGCTAAATCGTCTGTTTCTTTATTTAATTCTAATAGTTTAGGTTGTTCAGTATTATTTAACGCAACTAAAGTCTTAGTAGAATTATCAAAACGATACTCTTTACTTGAAATTAATATTGCGGTAGATGTAAGAATAGTTCCTAAAGTAGGATCTAGCCAGAAGTTTAAAGGTCCATGGTTATTAATATCTATATCAATAATTCCATCTTTAAATTCAATTGTACGATGAATTTCTTCACTTATATGATTAAAGTATACTGGAGTATTACACCAATGATTAGATAGTATGTCATCATCTATATTAGAGTTTAAATCATTGTATCTAGGATCTACATCTGGTCCTTTATCATTAGCATTCTCCCAATTTAAATCACCTTCTTTAACTTCATAGTCTATATCTTGTAAAAGTAAATTATTAGAAGTAGTAAATATACAAATATTAGGTACATATAAATTAGCCATTAATTTTAATGCTTTATAAGTTTTAAATTCTGAGAAAGTTCCTGGAGTAACATCCGATGTAAATTTAAATTTAAAATGTACTTCAATTGTAGAAGTTCCTTCAGAAAGATTAAAATTAGGAATAGAAGCATCAGTAAAATCGTCTATAGCAACTAATTGTCCACTGTAAGGAGTATCTGAAGTATCTATATTTAAAACTTTAGGTTTATCAGTATTTGCTATTTCAATACCGTTAAAAGTAATAGTACCGTAAGGAGTTTTTTCTTCAGCTTTTGCTAAAACTAAATTTGCTCTTTTAATAAATTGTGCGATACCTTGAGTTTTATTATTTAATAATCCAATAAAGCATTTTTGGAAATGTTTAGAGTTATTAATAACTTCCGCTTTATAAGTATACTCTAAAACAAATTGATTTAAAGGCGTGTTTAAATCCCAATAATCATCGTACTCCATGCCAGTATCTGGATGAGTATGATGGTTACCTAAAGTCTTAAATTTGTGATGGCAAAGATTATATCCCCAGGTATAGAGTTGAATATAGAAGTTTTTAGCTGCTTCATTACTTTTAGTCATTTCTGATATACATTTAGAAGTAAAGTAATGTGGATTTATGTCACTACTATCTAATTTACTTGTTTTACATTTTTTAATAGTAGTTAAAATATCTTCCCATCTAGTTGTTCCAGCAGCTTCATCGCCTTCTGTACTTCCTAATCCATGTTCATCGTCATTTCCAGTAACAGGTAGCCATGGTTGTGTAATATCTGCATCATTCTCAGTTTTGGTTATATCAGCATACCATGGGTTTCCTGGTCTATGTATTTTATAGAGTTTACGTGTACTATTTTTAAATCCATCAATTATATTAGTTAAAGATTCTTGTGTAAGATACATTTCTCCAGTAGTTTCGTCTGTAGCATATTTGAAAAAATTACTTGAAGCATTACACCAATGATGCTTATAAGTATACATTCTACGAGTATCTCCAATAAAAACGCCATCTATTTGATGAGTGCCTGCTTGTGGTGAACCCCAGTCAATACTAGCGCCACAATAGTACCCAGGAATATCAGCTGCGCCAGATTCACGTGTCTTATCTGAAACGAACGATGTTGGGATGATACCTGATCCGTAATATGCATAATTATAAGATGGAGTACCCCAAAGTTCAGGACAGACTATATTTGTAGAATATGGTTTTTTAGATAAAGTAGATTCTTCTAATGCTTTTAACTGATAGGATTTTCCATATCCTCCTTCATAATCATATTGATCATTAAGGTGGTCTTTAAAATAACAAGGAGTAGCTAAAACAGCATATCCTAATAAAAGGATATCGTCTTCAGAATATTCAGGAATATCGTTTGACACTTTATGTATAATATCTACGTCTTTATCATCTTTAACATTTTGATAAAACTCTTGTGCTTGTTTTAATGTAAATAGGTCTTGAGTGACATCGCCATCTTCAGTAGTGTGAGTTAGTTTAAATGATTGTTCAGTAGTTTTTAAAGTGACAGGTTTTTCAAGTAAAGGATTTTGACAATATAAACTTTTAATAAGTTTATTAAATTCAGATTCTTCTTTTTCTTGATTTAAATATCCTTCAACAGGTAAAACTAAGAATTCTTTGTTAGGATAGAAGTTATAAATAACATCTAATGTACGAGTGACATTTTTAGTTTTAATATGTTCTACATCATTATCATCAATATCTGCATAAGATATTTCAAATGATATCTTGAAAGTAGTAGGTTCTTTTAAATCTTTAGTGTAAGAACTTAAATCTACTAATATAGGAGTATCTAATTTAGTTTCTTCATCTACAGTATAAAACATGACATTTTCACAAACTAAATCTGAAATATCATTGACACGTAACTTAACATTAGGAATGACTGAAGTAGATTCAGTACGAGGTTCTTTAGCTTCAGTGTCTTTAATAATAGTAATCTTAATCTTAAACGCAGCATCTTTATAAAAATCAATAATAGATTTCTTATCTGGATTAGGTGAGAAACTATTATTAATTGCAGCGCCAAGCATAAAGGATTCTCTAGTAGTTACATAAGTGTTAGTTGTAGCATAAGAGATTGCTCCTTGATAAGGTAGGGTAACCATTTGTAAAGGATCTTTAACACTTTGATTAATAAACGGTACAAAGTCTAAGTAATGTACTAAAGTTTCTAAGCTTTCAGTATTGTTATAATAATAGACATTAAACTTAAAGCGCTTATCTAAAGAAGTGTTAAAAATAGTTTGAACATCAGGACGTTCTTTTAAAATATCTAGTCCATCTTTTAGATTAAATGGAACTACAGTCTTAGAAATAATGTATTTAGAAATATCTCGTAAAGATTCTTTAGATTCTCCTGTAGTATCAGGTACAGTAAGACTATATAAAGGTAATACACCTTTATTTTTAGAAATGAATTCTTCTAAAGTAGTCCATTGTTCAACATCTTTATCGCTTACTTCCCAGTTACAGAATATATGATTGTTGTTATTATCTGAAGTAGTAAATGCTTTTAAAAGAAGCGTATGTTTGTAATTACTAGGTACAGATGATACAATTTGTGCCGAACGATCTGTCTTTTCTACAATATACGGAGCAAAAATCTGTTCTACTGGAGTATTCATTAAAATATCGTTATTAGGTTTAGATTCTTCATCGTAATAATAAATAGCGAAAGTAATATCAGGTTCGTTTTGTAAATCTAATTTAAAAGCAGTATTGTGATAATTTAAAATTTTATAATCTTCTTCAGTAGGGTTAGATTTATTAGCAATTGCTAAAGTTAAAGTATCCCATTGAGGAATATCCGTATAATTACGCTTAGGATAAGTAGATTCAGTTTCAAGCAGTGGTATCAACGCAGAGTACTCATTACGGTTAAATAATTGATATTCAATATTATCTAAAGTCGAATAGTTATAAAGTTTAAAAGTATCATCCTCGAAACTATATAAAATATAGAATCCATATTCACATAATCCTAAAGGACGAATGATATTATTAGTTATTTTAAAAGATTTAGTAAAGTCTTCTAAGCGTACTTTATTTTTAGAACGAGTTAAATATCTGTAATCAGAATCTCGATTAATATTATTAGCATATAGAAATACTTCGGGTGTAATTTCTTTAGTAGTTAATGTTCCAGTATAAGCGAGTTTAGCTTCATTAAATTTAAAACTTAAATCAATATTTTCTGTATAGATTTGAGGTAGTTCAATATCTAATAAAATATCTCCTACTCTAGCGAACATAGGAATTCTAGCTTTAGTGCCTAATTCTAGATCTCCGTAATCAATTAATTCTCCACTTTCATCAGGAGCTTTATAGTCTTTAACAGTAACTGTCAAATATCTTACAACAGTATCTTCTAAGTCTTGAATAGTTAACTGTGACATGTTGTCTTCATTCTTTCCAAATGCAGTTAATAAGTCTATGTAAGAAAAGTTTTGTTTGACAGTAAGAATTAGATGAAGTTTATTATCTTCACTAATATTTAATGAGGTGTTAAGTAATGCTTCTGTAAGCAGTGGTATCAACGCAGAGTACTAAGTAGTCTTTGGAATTAAAGGCTGAGCAGTCTTTAAAGTTACTTTATTAGAAGTAGAACTAGTTTCATTTGGTTTATAAGCTAAGATATTTGTTACAGTATTAGTACCGTAGTTATATAAATCACTAATAGCATGTGCATTTTGTAAAGCTAAGTTAAATTCTGCACTGGTTGCATCGTTAGGATCTCCTGTAATAGTCGAAGGTTCAGGAATTTGAATATTAAATTTAAATAAAGGAGCATTCTCAGAGTTCACTGTCTTATAAAATGTTCCAAATACTTTTAAGCCTGAATCTAAAACTAAATCTTGAATATTATTAACATTAAATTGAGTTTGGCGATATAAAGGATGAGATTCAGTTTTACCAAATTCAGTAACAGCATATTCAGCGCCAGATAATAAATCAGCGCCATTAGGACGTACATCTATTGATAATCCTATAAAATGAAGTTCGTTATCTATAATTTCCGTTTTAAAATTATCTTTACAAATAGATAAAGTATTGCGTAAAGGATAAAATGGTAACCCATCTTTTGTATAGGCAACATAATTTTTAAAATCAATAGAAGTATCTTGTAAAGTACTACCGTTAGTGTAGTGATTGTGTTCGTCAGATCCTCCAACTTCCATGTATTGTAAAGCAAAGCTAATTGCTAAAGGTTCCTTATTTCTATCATCAACTACGATTTTATCGATATAGTAATATTTATGTCCTTCAGGATAAATAGATTCATCATTGTTTAAGTATATAAGTAAAAATACTTCATTATTTAAATATTTGATAATGTCTGGACGATCACTTTCTTTGCCAGTAAATTTATCTGCAGCGATAAGCGGATCACGGAGTTTCAAAGAACCATCGTGGTCTAAGACAAAATTTGTCAAATTTTTGACTGAAGACAAATTAGTAATAGGGTGATCTTGACGAATGCCAGCATCCACGGTTAAGTGTTCAACTTTACCTGGAGATTGTACCGCACTAGAAGATATATTAGATGATTTATGTTTTATCATAGTTTAATATCTCCAACTATCATCACCGAAATTAGTATTCCAGCCGTTATTATTGTCATAAAGTCCACCGTACTTAGCGTTAAGTACTCTATCATGTTTCATACATTCATAGATGGCTCTAGTAGGACATTTAATATTAAGATAAGGTGCGTTCTGATCAACATCTTGAGCGTAAGCAAAACGACCTGCCATAGCTGCTAAACTATAATGTTCTAAAATATCATAAGCATTTTGGAGTTGGATAAATCCTTGAGAATATTCATTAGCGAATATTTCTGCTGTACCACCATCTTTAACAGTGTATTTAAAAGAGACGTAAGGGATTAACCAAAGGATTATCCAATCGTTAGGTAAAATAGCATTCATATTAAATAGCATTGGATCAATAAAGGTTTCATGCCAAGAAGCATGTTCTCCATTTGAGAATGCTACATAATATTGAGATGCAATATCAGTATTAGGAATATATCCTGTTAATTTATCGAAATATTTATATGTATTATCTTTTTGAAGGACACCGTACATGTGATAGTAGTCAGATTTAGGATCTAAGTTGTAATAGTAAGAATAATGATGATCGAATGCATCAGTTTCATTTCCTTCATTAAAAGAATCAATAGCATTAGGATCTAAGGCTACAGAGTTTGGCGCATTTCGTATAATTTTAGAAGTATTATAAATATAGAACTTAAGCGTTTCGGATAATAATCTAAGAGAAGTATGTAAAGTAGAATTTAAATCGGAAATAGCGTAATCAAAGAAATCTTTTACATCCTCAAAATCCAAGGAAGGATTTCCTAAAGCATTGTTGATTTTATTCATTATTTCACGTAAATTCATAGGATACCTCCATGTTATTTTATTTTATAAGCAGTGGTATCAACGCAGAGTCACTGATCGACTTTTGCCATTCTCTCACGAGCGTGAAGCCAATGAGTCTTATTTATAAAATAAGTTCTACCATCAGTAGGAATGGAAAACATGGACACCATTTACCATAATAGGAAGGTAAGGTCCAAACACCTTTTGATAACTCTTAGGAATACTAATTGGATGTTTAGGCTCATGACGATATGCACCGAGTTGCATTTGACGTTGCATAAGGCTTTGAGTATTAATCGTATTCGCAAATTCTTTATATTGATTAGACGGTTAATTCCGTCAATATCAGCATTTGGAGTTCCGTTAGATTTGATAGCTATTGCGCTAGCAATTAGTATCAGCTAAGATTTTAATATCGCTGGCAGAACCGTTGTTCTTCTTAAGTTTTTCTCAACTTCTTTCTTTATAACGACAGCGATAGTTCATATCAGTTGCCATTCCGAGTGCCAATTTAAGCTCCTCAGGGAGAGGCAGAAGCCCCTCCCTTAGAACTAGACACAGAATGTCCTACACCATCGCTATGGCTCTCAGGACCAGTAGCGACTGATTTGTTTGAGATTTCTTCAGACATAGTTCATTCTCCTTTATATTGTCTTAGTGACTAGACTATTCCTCTTCAGGAATATCATCGTATACGTCTTTGTCACCAGTAGCGTTCGTATTTGGGACTGGTTCATGGATGACTGAACGAGTTTCAGTTCCAGTACCATCGCCTTTTAAGACTTTCTCATCTACGATTTGAGGAAGTTTTAACGACTTCAACTTCAGTTCCTTTGATGAAATACTTTTCACCACGTCTTGTAACTTGTTTCAGCTACAAACTTAGCAGCGAGTTTTCTTCTGCTCACTCAGTGTTTTGCTTTATCTTCAGCGATTAAGCAAATTGAGTTGTTGGAACAGTACCTATGAGCAATAGCATGTTGACCAGCTTTACTGATACGATTGAAGGATTTAGTACCGATAGGTTTAACTAAATCTGCCATCTTGACAGTATGGACGATGGTATTAGTACCACGGACAACGTAGCTCCAGAACTTACCATCGAAGTAAGATGCTACTTGTTCTGGGTGATAGTAGTTACCAGCATCATCCATATAACCATATGCATAGTCAGTGAATTGATTTTTGAGATCTGGACGAGCATTAATATTGACACGATACATAGTTGGAATACACATATAGTCAATGACTGCATCTGGGTTGACAACTTTATAACCTAAGGTATCAAGCTTCCAACCGATAGAGATTTGACGTTGATTTAATGGGTCTTCAGTACCTGCAGATCCTAATTCCTTTTTAATGAATTGAGGAGAGGTATGTCCACTAATACCGATACGGATTAAGCACTCTTCTGGAGTACCTAAGACGAAGCTGTGGTGAACGTTGAGCTTTATCAAACGCAGTAACAGGAACGTTAATGTTATTGATAACTACACATTTACCTAAGGATTCATCCTCAGTAAGGGTAATTGGATATCCTTCACCGTTATTGTCATCAACGGAGGCCAGTAGAGGCATCGATGATAAGACCAATAGCGCCAGCATCAAGCAGTAATTTCGTCTTTTGGTAAGACTAAGTTAAAGTAGGTGCCGTTATAGAAGAGCTTCAAATAAAATATCTGACATCACCTTCTTCATTGACGAAGACGTTCTCTGTTTTGATAGTTTTTGCAGTTCTGAATACTAACTTGAATAAAGATAAGACTTTATCGAAGTTATATGGTTCACCAGTCTTGGTGTCATGCATAAATTCACGAATTCTCTTATCGGTGACTAAATCGAATTCAGTTGCCGCAGAGATTAAGCATAAGAAGTTCGCACCCATGTGAGGTTTAACTTTACAAGCTTCCATACTCAACACGATTTGACGGAATTCGTCAATAGTTGGGTTACACTTGGTAGTTAATTCACGGATGTGATTTGGACGAGCATAGCTGTCATCAATAACCTTGATGTCAGGATCTCCGTCTCTACCACCAACAATTTTCTTACCAGTGGCATAGAAAACTTGGGATTCAGCTAATAAAGCTTCTTGCGCTAAGAATATCCTTAGTTTCAGGAACTTTCTTCGCTAATTGAGAGAGTGTATTCACTAATTAAAGGATCTACAACTGCCCATTTCAACCTTATCGGTGAATTTCATAACACGACCGTAAGATTTGAAGCTACCTTTGATAGCAACCATACGACGCTTGATCTGATGCAGGTGGTATACCTTCAACTAACGGTTCGGTGTGAGCCGCTAAAGCTAAGAAACGTTTAAACATACATTTCGTTAGCACCGTTATTTGACTCCATATTACGTTCGATAGCGAGTTTATCAAACTCATAATCGGACTCCTTCACGTTCAATCGTCTTTAACATGATCTTGCTATAGACAACCGCTGGTTGCATAACATTTTGGACCTTGTAAAGGTGATTGAGGAGCTGGGTTACGGTAAACCGATGTGTTGTTAATAAGTGTTAAATCTTCCATAAAAACCTCCTTTGAAAAATTTAATTATCTACGAGGATAATGTGAGTTGATGAAGTTTTTCTGCCATCGCTTCTCAGCCATTTTTTCTTGGTTAGCGTTTGGATTTTCAGGAACTCCTGTACGCTCCATAGATTTGAGAAGCAGGTGCTTTGTCTCATTCTGCTGAGACGTATGGCGTATTGCTTCTGGATACACTGCACTGAATACTCTTTCGAGGGCAGATGCAGGAACGTTCGCAACGTTAATGCCAAAGTCCTTTAGAGCTTTATTACCGAATAGAACAAGTTCGTTTTCAGTTAAGCCCCATTTGTTTCCGAAACTAGTCATTTTTTCTATGAATTCAGATTCATATTTAGCATAAGCTTGTTCCTGTAATTGTTTTTTCAATCGCAGCGATACGAGCATTTTGCTGACTGACTTGAGGATTAATTCCACGAGAAGCCCAACACACGTTGGATTTGCTCAAAGAGAATATCCTTTTGCTAATGGCTTCGGAAATAAATGCACGAACATTAGCAGGATAACCAGCAGCAACATTGTTTTGTTGTTCTGATTGTGCTTTCGCAGCATTAGCTTGCGCTATTTGCTGTTTAATAGCAGCCATTTCTTTTTCCATCGCAGCAATCTGTTTCGGTCAGTGTAAGTAGTTCCAGCGGGATTTGCGCCAGGTTGACCAGCAGCCTACTTGACCGTTACTGGCAGCGCCAGCAGGTGTAGTTTGGTGGGACTACTTGACCGTTAGGTTGTGAACCATTCGCAGGATTAACTCCTGGGTTTGGTGATGCAGGTGGAATGGCTCCACCGCCCATAGCTTTTGAGCTGTTCATTTTGTAGATACTGCTCTAAGCCGCTTGTGTCGTCTAATGACGGGACACCTGAGAATTGATTGTTTTCTATATCCATATAGGACCTCCGTAGTATTATTTAAGCACATTCAACAAAATGTGTCAAAATAAATTTTTATTGCGGCATATCTCCATTCATATTACCTGCAGGTGCCGTAGGAGTTGCAGGTAACTGACCGAGTTTTGAAGCTTCGATCATCTGTGAAACTTGTTGTAAAGCTTGTTGAGGATCCATACCACCCATCAACTAACTGTCCAAGTGCGGGTAACTACCATGGTGTACTCTTCAAGTTTCATATTTTCTTGTCTGCGCTCTCATTCTTTCCATTAAGATGTACTTTTGAGATTTCGGGAAGTTCATCCATCCGATTAATTCTTCTGGAGTAATGAAATCTGGATAGCCTTTTGAGGCCTGGATCATATTTCATTTGAAGTTCCATAAGTTTCATTGCAGAATCTTCATAGGATTGATTTGATTTAGGAGCAACATTACTGACATTAATTTGAATATGCTTCACGAGCAATAAGTTGTTGAGGGTCAAATTGTAAAAAGTTCGCCAGCTTGATCATGAGCAACTGGATTAGGATCAGTAAAGAATTTCTCTGCTTTACCTTGAGCCATATAGAATTGAACCATGATTTCAATTTCTTTACGAATAAATTTATCAATGTATTTAATACGATTAGGAATCTCTCATCGTTGCTCTATCAACCGCTTGTTGTACACCACCAGTAGTTTGGGATGCTACCGTAGTTACGACCTAAGTAAGCAGCATCAACTCCTGAGATATTTGCAATTTCTTTCAATTAAGTATTGACGGAAACTGTCAATAGTTTTTTGGTAAATCAGGACGTTGCGCAAATGCTTGAACAACTTTTGGATCACAGGTAACAGTAAATGCTGCATCTGGATTATTTCTCTTTCTTTGATACTCAGCAACATTTAATCCTGCCAATATTGTTAATGAATTCTGCAGGATTTTGATTTTTGAAGTAAGAAGTTGCTTCAATTGAGTCTAAATTGGTTAAGAGTAAGTACTAAACGATAAGACTTTGTAACATTTCGAGATTCCCCAGAAGTTATTTGGGATTTGTTCATCGTAAAGTGGAACAAATGGAATAATTCCTGGTTGAATTACCTTTTAACTGAAATGTCTAAAATTGTAATGACCTGCCATATAGATAATGTCTACTTCTGGAGAGAAATAGAAACTTGTCCTGTTAATTCATCAAATTTTTGACGATTGACACGTTTATACATCGTAATAAATGTGACAGTGTCGTTTGTATAGTATTCTGTTCTTATCTAATTTTGAAATTGTGATTAACTTCTCCAACTGTATCACCTGCATTTTCAATTTGTTGTAAAACTGGTTGGAATCTAGCGATAGTTTTTTAAGAAAGTTTTCGATTTTTCTTTCAGCAAATGCTAAATAATTCATTTCTTCAACGACAAGTAGCGGTTGGATCTGGGAAAAATATTACTAGGATGCCATGCTTTTGCTTGAATTTGTGATTGACGAGCTGGATTAAAGTAGTTTGAGACATCGTTATAATCAACAATTGCGTCATTCCATCCAAAAGTTACTCCACTAGTACCATGTAAGAACGCATAATCAGCACAATCTCATTATTAACTCCATCCATAGTCTGTGTTTTCCTCACTTCAATGTGAAGTATTTATTACAGGTATGTCGCTAATTCTCTCGCATCAAGAGTCAAAGGTTTGAAGCTCTCCTTGGAAACTTGTTGGCATAATTGAGAGCTTTAGTGGCTTCTTTGATAATAGTAATAGGGTTATGTGTAGGCGTCTGCACGTGATTAGGAATTTTACGATTGTAAACTTTCCAAATATCAGAGTGATCAGCAGCATCTAGTATTTTAAAGACACGAGCTTGTTCAGTTTTATAGGCAACGGCATCGTCAAAGTTCTTAATTAAATCAGAATCGGTATATTCGGTAATTTGATATTTAGCTAAAACATTCGCTGTTAGATAAACTAGCAGCTTGTTCTACTAATGATTTGTTATAATCTTGTTCATTCATAAATTACCTCCTGATTTTTATTTACCTAACACATCGTTCCCTAAGATTCCTTCATACGGATCAGAAGTGTCTGTTAATACAGAAGCAATATCTTGAGCATCCGATGGTTGGTTTTGGCATCATCTGTTTCGATGTCTTCATAAACTTTATTTACAACTGCTGCATTTTTGCGTTGCATTACCTGGATTTTCTTTTCTTCTTCTTCAGTTACAGGTAATAAATGCGCAGTTTTTAAGTGCGACATTTAACATTCTTGTAATTCGGTCGAGTTTTTTATTAAGTGGTAGAAAATTGTTCGTCTGTCATAAATTACATTCCTAATTCTTGTAACATCATTTTACGTCTTCATTTCTGTTCTGCCATTCGTCTTCAGGAGATATTACTCCTTCTTCATTGGCATAATCTGAATCGTAAGCCGCATCTCCTAATTTAACTCTTGCAAGTTCTTCTAAAGATGCTTCAGAAGGATTTTTCAGGAGAAGGTATGTCTACCTTAGGCTCTTTATAATCATTTGATAAAGTTTCAGGTTGAATAATAATATCGTCATCGCCACTAGTTTGTAAGGCTTTGTTAAAGCTTGAGGACCTAATGCGAAAGCTAAATCTTTTAATATCCATAAGGTGGGTAAAACCTCCTTTGGATATAACTTTAACCGAAATTGTCCGTCATGTCAACGATTAGATTCATCGTCTTGACGATTATTGTCTAATTCGTGACAGAAGCGGAAAGTGTGTGTGCTTTCGTAGTAATAAGCATCTCTCTCCAAGTATCGTTAAAGTCATCAGGATTTGGTGGAGGAAACGCTGGAAATGGCGCAAGCATATATCTAATAGCATTCAGGTAAGTGGTTATGTCTATCAATAGGTTGTTTCGCCAGTAATTTGTATCATCCGATAGAGTTTTTAGCTTTATATTTGTACTTAGCAAAGTGAATTATATATCTTAGTGCAAGTCTTAAAGATCTTAAGTCTACCGTGAGACGCATATTCATAGACCTTTTGAATAGTCGGAGCGATAGAATTCTTTTCACATCCTATAGCAGGTTGCATGTGAAGCCCATATTCAGCGTAGGTTCCTATCCAGTTTTTACCTGAAACCTGATCTTTGTTACGTCCTCGAGGATCACATTGATGAGGAAACATCAACATTGACTCTGGGAAGTCGTCACATTTCTTGATTCCTTGAATGATCTCACTAAAGGGAGTGTCTTCTAAACTCTTTTCAAACTCGTGATAGATATAAATAATTTTATTGATAGGATCAATTGCCCCAACAACATGCGCAGTTGGATCGTTACGACCAAAGTCGGTACCTGTTATGCGTTGCCAGTGCTTTGGAATCTCAAACGGATCGCAGATACCAATCAACAAGAATTAGGATAAACTAATCCTTCTAGTGTACTTAAAAACTACCGTCTAGGTATCGATTACACCACCAATCAGGATTATTTTTACGTAAATTAGCTTCGTAGTTATCTGGTAAATAGATATTTTGAACTAGTAGCAGCAATATGAGTCGAGATCGGCAGGATCTCTTTTAGCTGGTAAAACTTCATATCTATCTTTAACCGCACCGTGGTAATAGATTTTTATCACTGTGCATAAGCCATTCTGTATTCAGCCATCCCACATCAGGGTTACTAGATAACAACATTTTAAGTCTATTCTTACCCTTAAAGTAAGCGGCTTTATGTCTTAAACGAGATTGAATATTAACAGATAACATCGTAATCGACTTCGCTAGCTTCTTCTACCCAAATAATACTTAAGTTCATAGAACGGATCTTGCCTTCTTTATCTAAAGCACGAGCAAATATCATAGATCCGTTAACTAATTGAATATGCCAAGACACCTTATCTTGATTACTTCTCTCTACAAGGTGCTAGCGGGATAGTTCGTCTTTAAATAAACTTTTAAACAGGTGGATTCTACCTGTGACCAAGTCGCAGCTCCACAAAGACCTTGCGAGTTAGGAATTTGTAGAACGGTAGAAATAAATTCCATTCCGCAAGTATACGTCTTAGCAGATCCGTATCCACCCTGCGTAAAGTTTTCTTCATGTGATACATCGTTATGAAACGCTAACTGATGCTCCATAGGTTTAATATGTACAAATATGAGCCTGGCAGTTTGGACAATAAACGAAGAATTCACATGGAGTGCCATTTAAACGAGAATGTCTTCTATGTAAGATATCGTAATGGCAATGAGGACATATCTGATCCAACTTTCAGCGGTATAAATATTCGTAAGATGTGCGTCCCGAACGCGTGAAGCCCTGAACTCTTTGACACTTTCCGTAGAATTTGTATCGTCTTTTAAAAACAGCCTCAAAGTTTTTTAAGGCTGTTCTCAACGATATCTTTATTTCCACGTCTTGACATAATCTCTTAGTTCATATTTTTCTTATGAATGTCTTTTTGTGACGCAGGAGCAATAAGTCCTAATGCGCTTATTTAATAACGCAGATTGACTGAATCTCTATGTCATTCCACATTCGTTCATAAGAATATCTGCAGCTAATAAATACGCAGCAAATCTATTTTTCACTAGTACTGCGCTTATCAGCTTCCGTTTCTTTACGACCGATAGTCTTATCAACAACTTTCTTGAAGTCTTTATGGGACTTATCATTCTTATAAATCTCGCTAGGCGAGCAGATCCTAGATAAGCACTTTCCAAAGACACTGTTTAAAGTGATTATAAACTATCGATTCTCTTATT